GGCTTAAGGCCACCTCCTGGTTCAAACCCTTGGCCCAGGCTGGCTAGCCTCACTCCAGGGACAGAGCAAACCTGCACGTCAAACACATTCCCGGAAAAGCCGTCCACTCCAAAGCTTGCCATGATTCCTGCACTCCCCGCCACCACGCTCCTGCCTTCTGGCAAGGAGAGCTTCCCACGAATCTGTGATTTGCTCTTTCCACCATATTTCCATGCCACTACAATGGTGTGCATGAACGTCCTGGCTGACGCTCTCAAGAGCATTAACAATGCTGAGAAGAGAGGCAAGCCCCAGGTTGTAATCAGGCCATGTTCCAAAGTCATAGTTCAGTTCCCAAAAGAGATAATGAAGCATAGCCACACTGGTGTATCTGAAATCACTGATGGTCACAGAGTGGGGAAAAACTGTTGTCAACCTCACAGGCAGGTTAAAAAGTATGGCATGATCAACCTCAGATTTGATGTGTAACTCAAAGATCTAGAAAAGTGGCAGAATAATCTGCTCCTGTCTGTCAGTTTGATTTTATTGTACTGACAATCACAGCTGGTACCATAGACCACAAATAAGCAAGACAAAAACACACAGGAGGAAAAAAATCCTGGGATTCTTTTTCTAGGGTTATAATATATAGAGCAAATAAAATGCCTCAATGGACAAAACACTCACCCAAACCAACAAAAACCAAAATCTGCAGCTTTTTTTCCATATGTGTTTAAATGTTTTTCCTTCTTCTTGGTGTGTACTGTTGAGTTGGATCCAACCGGCACATGAGGAGATTGCCCCTCTTTCTCCAGCAGAGAACATCTGGTGGATCTGAACAATGTGCCTTCAGGATTGCAGCACAGCTTCTTGCCAGTAAGCTACCAGAACTCCCTTTGTGTTTAAATGTTTTAAAATTGTTTTCTATCTTGTCAAGTTGGGATATTTTTAAATTTAATTTTCTAATTTGTAATAAAACCTGGCAATTTGATTTCCCCCAAATCAGCAAGTTGTTAGGAATAATAAAGCTTTAATTGCAGAAATCATTAAGAGTTTTCCAAATTGTATTCCATGAAATCATGTTCTGGGGGAAAGGTTTCAATATATAGCATGAAAAACAGGAATAAGAGAGTCATGACTTAAAAAGAGAAAGAATGACAAAGGAAAAGAGAGACTACATTTTCTGTAATCCTCTTGGAAATTAATAATGCCTATTAAAAATAAAATTCATTTCTTTTTAATTTATTAATTCTCTCTTTTTTTTTCATATTGGCATGCTCATACTCCTTTCCCTCTCATCTTCATAAGAAAAGAGTCCTTGATTCCTCTTTTAGGAATGCCAGTGGTTTAGATGTTAAATACTCAGCTGCTAAATAAAAGGTCAGTGGTTTAAACCTACCAGCTACTCTGAAGAAGAAAGATGTAGCAATCTGCTTCTGTAAAGATTTATAGCCTTGGAAACCGTTAGTGAAAGTTCTGCTATTCTAAAGGGTTGCTGTACGTTGAAATAAAATTTATGGCAGTGGGGTACTATTAATGTCCCTATTAACTGTGGACATGAGTCCTTTGTTGTTATGTGATATCAAGTCAACTATGGCTCATAATGACGCTGTGCACAGTATCTCTGAACCCTGCTCTATCCTGAGCTAATCTCACTGTTTCTGATACACCTACCCTTATCTTATTATCCCAGTTACTCTATCAATCCATCTCATCTGGGGTCTTCCTCTCTTGTGCTGTCTCTTGACCCTTCCAAGCATGATGTCCTTCCCCAAAGACTGGTCCCTCTCAGATCTGTGTAATTTTCCAGGGCCACATCCTTGAAGAGGCCTCTGCAGATTTGGGGACTTAATAGATTATAATAAAGTTATTCATAACTTTCTAGGGTGGTTTGAATAAGATTAAGAAATTATTAAAGGATAATGAAACAAAGGCTGCAAGTATGCAACTCATTTTTGCCAAGTTTGACTGGAAAAGAAGAGAGACTGGATGAGGCCAGAAAGGTTAACTGTGATGAGTAAAGATATGTGGAAATATAGGTTTCCTATTTCTATTCCAAGGCACTAAAGATGAAGCCTATAGATCTCAAAGAGAAACAGAAAATGTTGAAGAAAAAAGCCATAACTATGAGGTCAAGAGATGAAATCTAAAGTACAGATTAAGAGAATGGCCTTCAGAAATTCAGGAAGGACAGTTCCTCTGGAGTACAAAAATGGGAGTATTACTGGACAATCTGTGACATGAGAAATAAGAGAGTTCAGATTTCCCACTTCTCCACAGGAGACACTTCAAAGAGAAGCAAGCAGATCTACATTTTAGGTATAAAATCTCTTATCAGGATGTTGGTTAGATTTAAAAACACTGATTGGCTGGGCTTCCATAACTTACCTCCAAAAGGACCTAATGGAATGCCTGGTTCCACCATCCATAGCTCTGTTCCTTTTTCTAACTGGGAAATCATATCAGGTTTGGAAACTTGGAGTCCTGCTCATGGAGGAAGAAAAGAACTTGTCTGTAGTAGATGAAAAATTCCATATCAGAATTCAGTCTCACCATTTTGTTTTAGAGGGTAGATTAAATAGGACAAACCTAACAGGAGCAGAAAGCTTTTCAAGATTAAATGTTAAATGGTGAAGACGTAAGTTAGGGACTGACCTAAATCTAGAACAATCATCAATCTGTTTATTCTACTTGTGAGTAGACTAGAAACCCTTTCAAATGTTTTAAAATGTAAGGATCTTTGATTCCTAGACTTGAAAACAAAACTCACCTAAGCACAAAAGGCTGAGTTCATGCCCAGATATTAACTTAGAAGTTACTCTTACCTATAGAGACCAAGTGTGTATAATTTTCCAGTGTCACATCTCTGAACAGACCTCTCTGCACAGAATCCAGTTGTTTCCATTCTTCCCAGGTAAAGTCCACAATCACATCCTTGAAGGTCACTGATTCCTAAAATAACAAGTATATTTCAGCTTAGCCATAAAACATTTGTCTAGGAAACGGATACTGCTAATGATCTTGATAAGGTTCTCTCTGCTGGCATACTGGCAAGAAGTTGAGCTGTAATCTCAAAGGTGTGCGGTTCAAATCCACCAGCTGCTCTGTGGTTAGAGGATTAGTTATGTGTTGGATCTGAATTGAAGGTGCAACAACAGTGATCTTAATAGGAGTTAGGAGAGGCTAATAAACTATTTGAAAAAATATTCTAGGGAGCTCTGGTGGCCTAGTGGCAAGAAGCTGCACTGCAGTCCCAGAGAGGTATACAGTTCAAATCCACCAGATGCTCTGCCGGAGAAGGAGGAGCAATATCCTCCTGTACCAGTCAGATCTGATTTGACGGTACACGCACACCAAATAATAATAATAAAAAAAAAAGAAAAAATATTCTGACATTTCCTCCTTTGTAAAATGAATATAAAAATAGAATTTAACTTACTGTATTTTTAAGAAGTAAATAAAACTCAAAAATCATTGCCATCAAGTCAAAAGTGAACCATAGCTAGACTCTCTGGTGAGTTTGCCAAGGGTGTAAATTACATGGGAGGAGACTGATCATCTTTCTCTCTCAGAGCTGCTGGTGGATTTGAACTAGCATAATTCTGCCATTTTTGAGTTAGCAGTACAACATCCTGCAGACTACACCACCAGTTTCATTTAGGGTCTGGCACAGTCATTGCTGAACATTGTTGTAAATCACCACCACCATCTATCTCTGTGCTTCAAGATGTATCAAGAATTAATAACATGAGAGAGCTCTGGTGGCCTAATGGCAAGAACCTGTGCTGTAATCCCAAAGGTACACAGTTCAAATCCACCCGATGCTTCACTGGAGAAGGAAGGGTAATCTGCTCCAGTGCCAGCTGGATCCAACTCATAGTACATACACAAACAGAGAGACACATACACACACACACACACACACACACACACACACACACACACATGGACAGAAGACAAGAATTAACAGCACGTTCATTATTATCAAGAACATATTTTTAATACCTACTATGTGCAGCAGGTCCAGGGACAGCCATTAATGATGTAGTTCAGTGGAGGGCAGTTAATCACATTGACAGACCAATCCATCATGGTCAAGGTCTTTCCTGGTGGACAAGGTTAAACTATCATGCAAGTTATCTGTATCTGGGATACAGAGTTTACAGCAGAAAATGGTCCCACCAGGACAAATCCAGATCTAGGGGGGACAGGCTGTGCAGATAAAAGGTCAAGAGGCCCAGACCCAGTAGATAATCACCCAGCAGTCCCAGACAGCCATCACTGCTGGTCAGACTCAGACACAGCAGCCCACTGCTGCCCAGAGCAGCTAGTGGGACAGAGTGCTGAAAGGGCAGACCATCATCTGCAAACCAGTTCATGCAGATGTCACCATTCTTCAGCTAGGGATAATCACCATCCCAGTAGCCCCCCTGGCAATTGTTCAGTTAGGAGCCACTACGAGCACAACCAGAAGTGGACAAAGGACTGTCATTGTGACACTATGAGTGGCAGACAATGTGATCAATTCAAGAGGGATGATCATGATGGTGCCTGGGATTGGCTCTGTACCTGTTATACAAAGAATCTCTCGACCTCAGCAGAGTTACTTAAAGAAGAGCCCTTCTATGTGTATGCCAAACAGTATCACCGTATTCTTAAGAAGAAGAAAACTCAGGCTAACCAGAAGGAAAAATTACAAAGGAAAGAAGGAAACGCCTGCATGAATTGTGGCACCATGATGCCATGACATCAAAGTGTGGAGAAAGTAGCTTTCTCTCTCCAAAGGAGAAAAACAGTTTTCACATGAAGGATCCCGAACCAAGCAGATGTAGGAGCAGCAACACAGATCATCTGTATGTCTTAACTCCAAGCCATGTGATGGATTGGATCAAGATTATGTTTCTCATCACTGTTCGTGGAAATTGTTAAACTTTCTGAAGGGATATTCACAAACATATTGTGTCCATTTATATAGGACAATAACTACTTAGTTTCCAATAAATGGCTCAGTAATTAATTACAGCCATGTCTAACATAAAGTTGGAAGCCTTTGTCAGGACCTAGTTAGGGCTGTTGAGGACACTGACTTTGGTGGATTAGCAAATATGGACTGATGAAGCTGGCCACCCATCCCCGAAAGGAGAGAAATCAAAACTGTGACCAGAGAAGGCACATCCCACTCCTTTCCACAGGAATTTCATTAAACAGTACACATTGGTCCCATGGGGATTTCAGTCTTACTAAATGGGTACTCTAATCAGAGATGTCTTCTAGGCCAGGAAGTATCATCTTTTGATATGGAATAAAGAAATTCTCTGAGATATCTGATCTCTGGTAATAATAAGAGTTTTTGTCATACCTCTCCCCCATCCCTCTACTCTTCACCCTAGACCGCAGGTTGGTAATTTTGGACTCTGCACTCTGGCTGTAAAAAGGTTAACTGGAAAATAGATGATAAAGGGCTCAAGTACTTAGATTGCTGAATCTCTTTTTTGAGATTTTTTTTT